GAAGGCAAGTGTTAGTACTTATGTACTTTCTTCCACTTACAGTGGAATCACACCCAGTACACGTACTTCTCTTCTTAATCAGTATTACGAGTACCAACAAATTTTGCGTTTGAGTTTTTTTAGAATGAGGAATCCAAATTCCCGTTTTTCTTTCTTTATTTTATTTATTATTTTCTTCGCTGCAATAGTCTTGCACCGATTAAAACATATATTCAAAATATGATATATTTTGGGTTTTAAAATATATCATTTTTGTTAGCTATATATCGTTCTCCAATATTTCTTAATCATAAAATGCCTAAAATAATAAAAAAAATTCATGCAAGTGCCTTGACATAACTTTTTTCAACGTAAGCAATTTTTATTATTAAAATTGGAAATAGATTCAGGAAAACTTACATGAGAATTTTTTTCGAGTGAAGAAAAAACATTCGAAATGGTTTGTGTTTTTGCGCCAGAAACTTTTAAATGCTGCGGATTGACTTCCTGTGAATGAAACATGAAATATCTCGACTTTAATCAACTACACATTTTTTGATTAGAAAATATTGTTAATAAAAAAGCTGTTTTCTAAAACGCGAAAAACTTCGGATGTTTTAAATGGCTCCAGACTTTTAAAGCTGACGTCCTCTAGGAACTGCAAGCTAAGAAATTAGTATATCCCATTTTTTTTTTCATTGGTTATAGTAAAAAAGGTTAAAAATATATTTAAAAAAACGAAAATTGCATTTAGTCTTTGACACCCTGTACCTCGGAAACTATTAACTTTCGGATGAGACAAATTTGCATAAAACGTATTATTCCTTCGTTAACAATATATTAGTGAATTTTGTCGCATTAGTTGAAAAAATACACCATGTATATTCTGATCGCCAGAACTACCAAATTTATGTACGTTTTTAATTACTATTTCCGTTAATCGATTTTCAATTACCTACAATAGGACTGTTTCTTTCTCTAAACACACTTGAAATTGTAATTTACTTTCGTTTCTGTGATTAAGGAATGTGTTTCATTTTAAAGGAATAAAATATGATCTAAATTCTAAATAACTGCTTTTAAAAGCTGGTCAACTCAGGCTCATGTATGGCCCTCATACTGTATAATGGAAACTTCCAAATTTATTTGGAGTTATTAACTATATATTTTTAGTAGATGCATTGATTTGCCTGCCTTTATGAATGTTAGTTTTAAATCAATTTGAATTGCTTTTACATGCATTTTTTGCTTTCTTTTAGACAAGCAGTAATACACACTGTCTAAATAAGTCTGATGTCAGTTCGTGTAATGCATCAGCTTCGGAGAATCCAGAACACAGTTTTGTGATTCTAAAAGAGAAAGTCCTGTCTGAATATCAGCAAATCAGCCCTCAACAGGTTCGACTTAAATTAAGAAAAAATGAGAAATACGAAATCAACTTTCAGTACAAACAAAGTGCCAACTATCCTGTTGGTAAGAATAGTTTAATGAACATTAGTACGTTAAGAAAATTATACTAATCTAGTTGCCTAATTTTTAACAGCAACTTGAGACCTTCAAGTTGTTGTTACTTTCTGGAAACTCCGACATCATGGCAGACTTACACTCGAATGTTTTCCTCCTGGAAACTGTACTGGAAAYARYATTTTRACTTTATGTGGTTTTGGGATTCATTTTCTGTATTTTGTACTTCGTACGTGAACCCGCCTAGTAATTTAAAGTGTCGTTTACTATTAGCTTTTTAAAATTTTGTTCACTGAAAAATTTGTCTCAAAAATTGTATTTTTTACTTGAATTTTTTGGGGGTCCTGACACACTAATTTTAATGTTTTTAGATTTTTCGAATCATTCTAGAGTTTTGGTCTTATTTGAGAAACATTACAAAAGCTGATATAACAACATTTTAGTCGATCACATTYAGCARCTACTAAGGAATATTTAARCTAAGAGATTCTTAAAAATTCGCCATAARTCAGRTGAAAAMTGCCTGCCCAAAACATACCGATGCCTGTGTTTTMAAATAATTATCAACGTATTTTATGCATGCACTTTAGCAAGTGTGCTTGGAGACAATAGCATTCTGTTAAAAATAATTCACAAGTTTGAAACATTTACTGAGATACATTGAATTAACAGATCTTTACTACATCATGGATCTCTCAAACTCAATGGCACCATCTAAAACAAATTTAGCAAAACTGGGAGCGAAACTTGCTGATGAAATGATGAGAAAGACTAATGATTTCAAAATTGGTTTCGGCAGCTTTGTAGATAAACTCACTTTGCCTTATGTCAGTTCACATCCAGGAGCGTAAGTATAGTAAGCAAAACAAACAACATACCGGTAAAAATTTTGTTTCCGGATTTTTTAGACTTAAGAATCCGTGTCAAAGTCAGACAATGAAATGTGAACCACCGTATAACTTTAGAAATCAGCTCTCTCTAGTGCAAAATGCCACGTTGTTCACTGAAAAAGTACAAAAAACTTTGATATCCGGAAATCTAGACACTCCAGAAGGAGGCTTAGACGCCATCATGCAAGCTATGGTCTGTAAGACTGAAATTGGGTAAGTACTTCAACCTCTTAGATAATTTCGAGTACAGCAAACCGTCGTTGTTAGAGCGAGAAGCCCTTAAAATTTTAAAAAGTGGGGGTTTTGCTTCGACCTATGTAACTGAGTTATTTAAGCTTAATGAATATTAACAAATTACAACTTCCATTTTTAGATTTTTCTACTTAGTGCTAAAATGAAGACTTTCACAAGTTAAAAAATTATGTATAGTGAAATTACGTAGTGATAGTAAAATAACCGTCCCAATTTTACTTTATAATACACGGTGATTTTATCAGTTGCCCAATACACCTCAAAAACTATTAATGTAAATTAAATACAAATAAAAAATGCAAAGTCCTCATTCCCACGTACCCCAACTTATTTTTTGATGTTTTTCTTTCCGAATACACTCATTACATTTCGTCATTTTTTAATTTGTTTTGTCTTGAAATTACCGTTTCAAGCTGTTGGCTCTGAACAAAATTAGCCAATTTGACTCAAGTAAAAGAATGATGGATAAAAAATATATTCCAAATCATGAAAGTTTCATTAATCAAAGAAGTTTTTAAATAATTTAGCACCGTTCTGTTCCAGACAGTAACTTAAACAAGACTYAACCTGCTCCCACACGATTTGAAACGCTTTTGGTAAGATCATCTTACATTCTTGAATTTTTCSTACCCGTTAATTATCAATATTCAAAGGTCGTATTTTGTAAACGACATGATGASGCCCAAGACAAAGTATACTGTTGTTCTACGCCTACCAATCCAATCATTTGCAAATATTTTGTCAACAGCATTTMAATTCAAAGCATAGTGAGAATAARTTCCATCATATTGCAAAAATTTGTTACCTCATAAACATAATTYCTGATATTCCACAAAWAAAATCCACTGGAGCGATATCGGGGGATTGTGCTGGCCAGGACGTTTCATACCAAGCGCTTAAAAGTATTTGTTTGAATCGAACCAAAATATGTCGTGATGTGATATTTTGCATAAACTGAAGTTTTCTGCAGATAATTTTTAAGCAGATTTGACGATCGTTCCATCGTCAGGCGCTCATCTTATGAAGATACCTATTATCCTTAGAATCTACAAAAACATTCGCGAAATGTTCGTTGCTTTTTTCAATCCCAGGCCTAAACAATTCACAATAAGTCGAAATGTGCTGTTAAATTAAGAATATCGCAATTTCTTTAAAGTTTCCAGTTTGAAATGTTGGTCTCTGGCTCCTGGTTTGCGGCTTCCCACCAATTTTTATCGAGAGATTAGAATATTTTATCGAGAGAACACCAACTTGCACAAATGCACCGCATTGTCTGAGATTTGTAACTAACTTGATGAAGTATTGTATGTCGTTGTCTTAAATTTTAAAAAATATGTTTTACCGACATAAATACACTTTTGATGAACCAATGTTTGATCAAAACATCAATCTTGCTGGTGTTCCGGACTGTTGGTTCTTCCTTGAAAACGAGACGCCGAGTGGTAAAACTGATAATTTGCCTCAGCTTTGGTATCAACGTCAAAAAGTATACAGGGTACCGCGTAAGCAAATGATGAAAAGGGTGGTGCTTCATCGTTTGGCTCAAAAGAGGACGACCTGACTTAGCTTTTATTTATAAAAAATGTCTGGCTCCTCTGCAATCAATGGCCAAAGTTCTTCAAAAAAGTTCTCATTTGAAAAATTGGGAGTATGATTGTGAGGATTTTAATGAAACTTGATGTGAATTTGTTCTGATGTAAGAATTATGTTCTGATGAAGCAACCGAGTCCCTCCGCTTTGGGCAAGTGGAAAATTCTTTAGTGTCATCATTTTATCCAGTTGAGTGAAAACATTTATTGAATCGGTTCTAGGTAGTTGCAGAGATATTTACTCTTTGCAACGCTGTCCGCATTGTCCTTTTCCTGCTCAAATGCTCGTGTCTACAAATAAAATGGATGTGTAAATTTTAGGAGTCTTTTCAACTTTTATTCCAAATTCGGGAAATAGTGCTATTCTTACTGTATCAAATGGAGTTCAACTCCAGAAATAATTTCTTAGCCAGAAATAGCTTCTTCACTGATATACCCAGAAAGATCTAGACAGCTGGTTTTGTAAACTGTTTTAGATATGTCTGATGATTCAGACAATAACGATTTTCCACGAATGTAGATATCAAATGATGTCTATCTGAATTTGTGTTATTATAATACAGTGTGTATTTAGCTGGAGAGCCAATGCAAGACATCTTTTGGTAATGTCCACTGACGCGGTCTCACATATAGCTGGAGACGGCAAGCTTGGTGGGGTAATAGAGCCAAATGATGCTACTTGCCATTTGGAAGATAATACTTATACAAAAGGTAACGAATAACAGCACTTTAAAATGTGACCATTTATGCTATTTTCTATCTAGGATTGCAGTACGACTACCCCTCAATATCCCAAATCAACTATGTGGCTCGTGAAAATAATATTAATATAATATTTGCAATTGTCTTAGAAAACTTAAAATCTAAAGATCATTTGAAAAACCACTATCAGGAAATGTCGAAAATTATCGAAAACTCCAAAACTGGTACGCTGGATAAAAATTCGGATAATGTGGTGCAGTTTATTTCAGATATTTATGATGTAAGTAGCCTTTAGATAAGAACGTCGTTGTATATTCGGAATGGAAGGATAAGGATTTAAATCTACAGTAATGAAAAAGAAATGTTTGCATGAGTACTTGGAAAAAAGCGAAGAAGAAATTCCTTCAAACTCGCCAATTTTACAACATTGTAAATTAAGCTTGGGTAACTCTGTGTCTTTAGACACCTTTGTGGTGATGTCGCTTTGTGTGTCCATGCGTTTCAACACCTCACCTCTTACGACGCGACACCTTCAACAACTTTTAATAGCATTCAAGATTGCAGACTTCGGATTGCAAGTTAGTGAAGGCCACGCACAGTTACCAGATGATTTGCGAAACTTCGTATGATGATGAAGTTATTCTTCATAAAAAGTTCTCGTTGCACCAAAATCCTAAAAATGTTTTTGTAGGGATTTTCTAGCCGTTTTTAATGTGCTTGTTAGTTCCTGGAGGATCCGATAAAGATTTGTAGAGTTTGGTGGCATTAAAATGTGTTAGTTAACTATAACTTGCGAATATTGATCAAATTCATCGTCGTGGGGTATCAATATTTAGATATACATGCCTGATCTTCGTCCTTATGTCAGTTGAATTCATTTCTAGGTGTGGTGTTCTAGAAGTACATTGATGTGGGATACGTTTTGCTTTCTTAGCATTGATAGCAAGGCCTTTGAGAATATCTTTTCATCATCAATCAGATCAAATCTTATTATTATTATAAAATATGTATAATAAACAATTAGACTAAAAATGTAATTGCTTTCACAATAATGTTTGCTCAAATTTAATGGAGCGTGTTGTGATGTTTTCCTATACTTGCAGCAAATTCGAGATGCTGTTAGGATAACGTCAGATGCAAAGAAAGACGTAAATGTAACCATAACTTCAAACTGTACCAGCTTTATTGATGGTGGTTGCTCTAGTGTTAAGCCCGGAGAACCTATTAAGTTCACGGCCATCATTGAGCCGTTAGTTTGTTACAATAACTGTACGTGAAGTCCACTTGGTAACCAACATGCGAAATAAGTTTAACCTTAAGACACTTTAAAATTTTATTGTGTATCTCTATTTTCAGCGAAACTAAACAAGAAAATAATAAAAATAAAGCCTGAGGGCCTAGAAGATCATCTTCAAGTGGAGCTGGAAGTGCTATGTGAATGTGCTTGTTCACTCAGTAGAGTACCACTCGATACGAGTTGTAGTCAGCAAGGAGATTTAGAGTGTGGAATATGTCGATGCAAGGAGGGCAGATTTGGATCTAATTGTCAATGTGACTGGACCGAGAGTAAAGGCGAAGATCCCAGTCAATGCATAAAACCAGATGGTAAAAATGAAACTTGTTCAGGTAAAATAAAGATTGTATGTTTTCTAAAGCAGTGCTTTACAATTTAAGCATATTGTTGTCTAGGTCAAGGAAAATGCAAGTGTGGGAAATGCGAGTGTAAATCCCGGCCAGACAAATCCGAACTAATTTATGGAAAGTACTGTGAGTGTGACAATTTTAGCTGCCCGCAAAAATGTTCAGGACGAGGCAGATGTGAATGCGGAGTATGCAAATGTGATAATGGTATACAATTTTAAACCTCTTGGGTGATTCAAAACTGGCGTCATTCCTCTTCAATGATTACTGCGGCTTACTTGGAGGATGCGGAATTTATTTTCATTGAGCAATTTCCTCGAATATATTAATTGCTAGGAATGCGCAATTCTTATGTTTCGAACCTTCAACAGATCCCAATGAAATAACCGAATTTACTACGATTTTTTCGTCATCTGACTCGCGTTTTGATAACTATGCTACCAGATCGGATCTGGTAGGAAATCTTAAATCTTCGCAAGAAATAAACAATTGAACATCGCATTGTAAAGATAACAAAAAAACACTTATTTTTAACTAAAACCCCCTTGTATATTAGTGCACAAAATTGAAGCCAATTTAATTCTACACAAAAAACTTTAGTAACATTTTTTTCCTAAATTGATGAAATTTTTAAAATATTAAGTTCTTTTTACTTCTAACTAGGTCTGGGTAACACTGTTGAGTCGCGCTCTTGAGTTATTGGCACTCTCTGAGTTGATGAGTTGTAACTTATTTATCACGTTATCCCAGCGCAACGGCACCTAGTTTTGAACGTTATTTTCGAAACTTTTGCGTTATTTTCGGCAAAATAACAACACTATTAAAAGAAAAGGAAGAAGCAAAGCTAGTATTGGAAATAAGCAAACAGAAGTTAACGTTCTGGCATATTTTGAAGCTTTTTCCGAGAAATCTGTGAGATATTTCAGAAGAGAACGCGGCCTTCCCTTATTTACAATTTGGCGAATCTTAAAGAAATTCAAGTATGTTCCATACAAATGTTAACTAGTTCAACAACTTCATGCGGGGGATTCCGAGGGAAGGCTGCGAGTTTGACGATGGTTAATGAATATACCAAATGTTGAACGACGAAGTTTGAGGAGTGATGAGTCAAACTTGTCCAATCAGGGCATGTTTAATACGAAAAATGTTCAATATTGCACCAAACAAAATTTATTTGAAATCGATACAATCTCAACCAGCTTTAAAAATATACAACTCTTTGCAATTTAAGTCAACGCTCTATCTTGGCTAATAACAAAGTTACCAATGGTGCGCACTTAATTTGATACTTCCCTGTATATTGCCGGTATAAGTGTGCAAGTTGACCCAAATATTGTATAAAGGAATTGGGAAAAACAAAACTTAATAAGTACGTTTAGATAGCGGGTTTGGGACTGGATTAGAAAACTCCTTTCATTATTTGAAAATGGCCGACGTTTCGACGCTTTATTCGATTTTTTTCCTTATTTTTTCTCTCTCGCAATGCTGGAATTAGGAAATATTTTATGACATATAATAGCGTATTATAAAAAAACGCTTCCGAATGACTTGCTAAAGCTAATAAGTTTTATTTATTGAGATACACTTGCAAGACTGAATGCTCAACTTAATAATTATACAGATTACCTACATCTCTTTAACGCAACACAGATACAGAGTTAAATAAATATAGAAATACAAACAATTATAAATGCGTGTACTTACAGTGTGCACAGCATCTCTGTTTTCTTCTTGTACTGAGGCAGCGTCGCGAGTATTGCGGAAAATCGTGCAATCGACCTGATCGATCAAACGGGAGTGATGTTCGTACGACCATCTCCAAACCTTCCCGCCGCCAGATTTCATCCCTGTTTATTTTAAAGATTGCGTTCGATTCCCAAACTACTGTTTGAACTGAACAAACACAGCAACTAGTGTTCGTTTGTTGATTTCGCTTTGATTGAGAAATTTTGCTGAGCTCACAAGATGTAACAAAAGTAGTGTTGTTTGACTTCTCATTTTCGTTTAATACAGAAACTCGGAAATCAAACTATGTTTAATTAATTAAAGTCGACGAAACTAAAAGTCGCTATTTACTTACAAAAATAATTTTAACATAAAATGTTTGTTTTGTAGCCCCTTCGTCCAGTGCGAGTTTTTCAAAGAATGTTGCACCTCTTGCCTTCAATAAACCAAAATAGTACAAAACATTTTGTGTTCAGTTGACTGTCGAATTGAATACAAGGAGCTTTCGACAACTTGTACGACTTATGTACAGGGTGTTTCCTCATAAGTTGACACCCCCACTAGATCGTTTATTTCAAAAAAATTGTGAAAGTGACCAACACAAAAGTTATTTAATTTTACTCGAAATAAGTAATTTTTTTCAATGAAACACCCTATATATTTTTATACATACCAAAATGATTTTTTCCTAATTTCAAAAATATACATTTTGCCTATATTTGCTTTAGCCGTTTTTCCTATATTGTTTCAAAAATTATAAATAGCAACAAATCAAAATGGCCTTCAAATTTGACAAGGCGCTTCCTCCACCCCATAACGTTCGCCCAGTAGCACCTTGTTAAATAAAAATGTTATCTGGATTGGACGAGCGGGTCCTATCCAATAGCCTCCAAATAGTCCCGACCTAACGTCTCTTGATTCTTTTCTCTGGGGTTATTCATAGAATATTGTGTAGGAGACTGCAGTTAGACGCCTTAAAATAGTGGATTCAAGTAACGATATTAATATTGATCATAACCAATATATTTAAATCGTTATCGAAAAAGTTCAATTAAATTATAGAGCATGTCTAGCGTTAAACGGAGGCCACATACACAATCAGTGATTTTAATGATTTTGTTTTTATTTATTCGTTTGTTTAGACATTTATAGTAGCAATAAATTCCGTTATGTTGCCTTTCTATAGTTTCCGTGTCATTCAGGCAACTTTAGTTTGTTGAATTTGTTGATTTGTTTTTCTGAAATAAACGATCTAGGGAGGTGTAAACTTATGAGAAAACACCCTGTACATTGAGAGCTGTTAAGTTAATTTTGATTGTACCTGTACAATAACAAGATTGCGGATAAATTTACAATTTAAAAAGACCGGCTAATAAACGTGTAATAATTAGGAAAAAAAAATCATTTTTGAACTTGTCACTTTGAAGGCCCATAATTCTATAAGGAAGCCGATCGGAATTTTTTTTATCTGAAGTACGGGCCTTATTTTCAGGTCTTCTATTGGCCTTCTTATAATTGACCAACAATTTCGGGACATCCTGTATATATTTTTTTTGCCACTAACATGGATAATTGGCTTAATTGATTTAATTAGATTTTGAATTTCCCATTAATTTTCTAAGTGTCGCAATATTTGATAGCTCGACGTTCAGTTGTCCTCAGAAGGGTTTATAGTATTTTCCCCATTGGTTCATAATGTAAAATTTCATCAGCAAAATATTTTTTACCGGAAAACGTTTGGTGGTACCACTTATAAAATTGAACAATCAATTAAGGTGTATTTTGTATTCTTCAAAAATCCAGTGGAATGCGATTTTTTCTTATACAAAATTATTTAAAATAAGCACAGCCCTCACTACCCAAAATGTGTTATTAATATTTATCAAACCTTTCTGCAGATATTTATAATTTTGAATTTTTTAAAGTAATACGTTCTTCCATATTAAGGCAAGGTCTATTTAAATTAAACTGTTGAATTTACGGTACTTATTTCTAAGACCCTGTATATAGAACTCATTGATTTTGAAGACAAGTTCAAATTATTATATAAAAATTGCGAAAAGAGAAATATTCCTGCCTGTTTCTAATTTTATTTTAATGTGGTTTTAGGTGATTGTTATTGTGTCAGTAAAAACCATTTTAAAACCTGTTTAAAAGTTTTAAAGCACCAAATAGCTGTTTGATTGCGAATTCTAAAATGCATAATACAATACAATTAAATAAAAATAATAAAAACTGCTTGCAATTGCTAAACCTCAGTAACCACGTCCAGTTTGATTGTTGAAATCTATCATTTTTCAAGCTTAAATCAATGTTGTTGAATAATGCAACAAACCAAAAATAAAGGTTTCATTAAATATGTATTTTATTGAGTCAAATATATCGTTCATATCCTGATAAAACTAACGCTGTTTAACGTGTAAACAGCAAAAGTGATTATCTAGAACGCAAAACGACTATCGTCAATGCACCACAACCGCCACTCAAGGGTATTAAAACAGAATAATTGATACATCTACATTCCAAATGAATTTATATGAAAGTTGTTACATTTTTCAGGATGGAGTGGTTCTAGCTGTGACTGTTCATCCGATGAGAGCCAGTGCATGCCTCCAGACAGAAAGTTTTTATGTTCTGGACATGGAAACTGCTCATGTGGCTCCTGTATATGCCGTGAAAAGGAAGGTTACAATGGCAAGTATTGCGAGAAATGCACCAACTGTGATTCTGAAAGGTAAAATAAAAATAAAAAATAAATAAAAAGTAAGTAAGGTAAATCAAAAGAGGTACTATATAAAATGAAGGGATGTTACAAACAGGCGTGAAAGCGGTAACCTATGAAACATCTATGAAACAATAGTATTATTGCATGCACTCCAAGTCCAAAAACTATAGGAAGGGGTTTTGCTTTGCTCGCTGATCTCTCTCAGTACATATGTGAAATTTTTATTATAGATGCGAAAAGCTAAGACCCTGTGTAGAATGTGTAGTATATAAATCAGGAGCATACGCAAGTTCTTCAACTTGTTCTGATCATTGTGATATATTTACTACAAATATCGTTAAAAAATTAAACGACACCAAACGAGAAGGAGTGAACGTATGTCGAGTTCCTGTAGAAGATCAATGCACTGTAGTATTTGAGTACAGTTATGATGAAAACAATATGCTTTTCGTAACAGCAGAAGAAAAAATGACTTGCCGAATCATACCAGATCTATTCGGTAATATTTAATATCTGAACATTAAAATCAATATTTGATACCCATTTTCTTTATTTTCAGTTTATATTATCAGCGTCATAGGTACAATACTATTAATTGGCATCATTACAATGATCATATGGAAAGTTGTAACTACTTTTCACGACAAGAAAGAATATGCACGATTTTTAAATGAACGGGATCAGACCAAATGGAGCGCGGGGGAAAATCCTTTATACAAACCAGGAACATCTCATTTCCAAAATCCTGTGTATGGTAGGGCTAGTTATAGAACTTCAGTGGCAAACGCCGAAAAGAAAAACGAAATAACTAAAACTGAACAGTGAAAGCAGTAGAAAATATCGAAAAAGTTGCACTGAATCGTAAATATATCCATTTAGATGACTAAGGAATAAAGGTTGTAAAAGTATTTTCCTTTCAAGTTATATCATTTGTTCCAATTAATCTGGAAAAAAACACTTAATAGCTTTACAAGATATATAGGTACGAGAAAGACTCCAAGTATCAGAATATCCATCACATAATAGATGATCGAATCAGTGTTGTTATTGCAAGCAAATTGATTAATCTCAGAAAGTAAGCAGCTGAACTTCTGAGTTTGAACTGAAACTGAAAGTTATATTGAAAATAGTACTCAGCGCCGATAAAACCATTTGAGTTTGGCAAAAACAAGAACTAACAGTTATATAACAATTCAAACATTTTGCGAACTTTTGAAGAAACTCCTTATCAAGTAATGGTCCAAGATGAGCTACATCATCGCTACTGTTCTTTAACGTCTTTAGTAAAAGTAAGCGATGACTTCCAAACATGGCAAAAAATGAGGTCATATAGTGACTGGCTCTGTGATAAACTAAGATTTCAAGCGTTTAATTTTTTTTACCAATGAGATTTACAAACTTAATTTCATCCAAACATGACAAAAAATGAAGTCATATAGTGACTGGTTCTGTGATAAACTAAAATTTCAAGCGTTAAATTTTTTTGACCAATGAGATTTACAAACTTAATTTCATCTGAAAAATAACTTACAGAGTGATTTACGATCAATTCATGGAGATCGACAAACGCAATGCTCGATTTCTCTGAAAATGTATTTCGGTGTTTTTTTAAACACCGAAACGTTTTAAAAAAATTAATGATTTGTGAATTTGAAATACATGACTGAAACGCAGGAAAGTAAATTATTTCTTGAAATTGGAAATAGTCAGCAAAACTTACATGATGAATGGAAATGCTTGGGAATACAGCATTATGGAACAGATGGAGGAATGCAACCTGAAGAAAATATATAAAAAACTGAAGGCTAAACGGGCAAAGGAAAAAAACCGAAACAACTAGCCAGTTCCAAGAATCTTGCCCTTGCCCCAAAATTTATACACACAAACTGAAAATGGTGGAAAAACACCGAAACATTGTTAAAAAATAAATAATTTGGGAACTTGAAATAAATGACTGAAACGCAGGAAAGTAATTTTTCTATTTCTATTTTTATTTCTATTGTGCTCTCCGAAACAACACGTCCAGTTGAATGCAAATTTGAGCAATTATATATAGTTTTTAATTGCGGTATTTTATGTAATTATGCTTCATACATAAAGAGTATATTTTTCAAATTGTGCAATAGCTGCTCAAAATAAGAGCACTGAAACAAATATCATCATTTTCATCCGACTGTATGAAACATTTACTGTAATAATACTTGTAAATCAAATTTTAAAAGAAAAATGAAAATTACTTTCCGCTGAACCTAATACAGGAAACTTCGGTTAGTTTGGTAGAAGCTGCTCTTATAAGGAGTAGGAGTGAAATTTACGAAAAATATAAACACAGAATGGCATACACTTGACCCATCTTGTAAGCGGCATCAACAAGGTTAGGCAGACAAAACCATCTAAAAAAAATTCTGAAATCAAAGTTATTGAACAAAGTGTCTCAAAAACAAATTACTTTCACTAGAAAAAATAGGACATTGCGAAAGAGCCTATCAGTAGATAGACTCTTTCGAGCGTGATTGTCGAGTGAACTAAAAAAGACTGTGTTCCTGTGTGTCTCAAAATTGTCTTAATAGTTTTACTTGAGTTCAGTCGTTCAGTTTTTCCGACAACTTTTCCACTTTTAAGTGTACCGATCAAAATAAATTGATTTGCTTACGCACATTCGTATTATCGCGTCTATTATGTATTAGTCTTTTCTAGGGAGTCAACGACGAGTTATCTTGCCGTGTGTTTACTTGCCATTTTTATGCAACCGAAATATATCAGTGCTAATATCGATAGCGGGTTTCTGAGAAAAGAACAAAAAATCAATGCTGGATTGAATGAAGAGAAAAGTTATCAAAAAACGAACAAAAAATTAGTTCAAATTCAAGGAGTAAAATTAAATTTGATTTGTTTGTGAAACTTCTTAAAACAATCTCCCACACACAGGGCTGGGCTTCTCTTTACAGGCTGGACGAAAATAACGCGTTTATCGGCGTTTTTTTTTGCTTAGGTTTTTACTTATACGACATGGCTTTGTCATATGATGTTTTTTTCGGTAGGTGGTAGACTCTTTATATAATGGAGCCCTTGCAATTTACTATTTACTATTTTCTCCACCAATCAACGCTACAAATTATTTTCTAAACTTTATCAGTTTTATTTGAGAAGAAGTTACTTTTTGAAAAATTTTGTGAGCGATGTGTATATATATTTATATGCAATGAAGACATTTTTACACTTTTCGATGATAACCATGCAATATAATTATAGTTTTCAATGTGATTAAATGAAATTGTAATTTTATATATTCGCTCCAAAGCAATATCCTAAACATTCCCAATTTGTTGTACTGCCTGAGTCTTCAGCAAGAAAATGTTTCAACAATTCAGTCGAAACCCTTTAACCTTGCACATTCTGCTACGCCAGCTATCGAAGTTTTAGTCCGTGGTATTTCAAAAACGTGAAGAGTAAAAAAATTCCCAGATATTAATAAGTAATCAAACGTTTTACAATGCAATGAAATTTCAAACATGGTCAAAATATCAAATATAATCTGATATTTTCCATGAGTTTGTTATATTGAATTTACTGCGGTTTTTACAATTTACACTCATTTCGTTTCACACTGCTACAGGAGCGCTAAACTTCAGTTTTATGTTAAAGACTAACACTAATTTAGAAGAAAAACAGATTTCACATAGAATATAAAATTGATTTATAACCAACAGATTGTTCTCTTATACTTAACTAAACTCAGTTTCAATAGATTACACGAAAATAACACGAAATTTATAAAAAGGCATATGGAATTTTCGTTTGCCATATACTTGTTAAAGTACTAACTAAGTAATATCCATATAATACGTTAAGAGTACAAGAAAAGAAGACAAAACATTTCTTGAATATTTATTAATTTTACGTTGGTAACATATAAAATTGACGACTTATATTTACAGGCACTAAAATGTAAAAATATTTTCAGTTCTAACAAGCCGATGATATCATGGTTTACGCTATTTTGATTCAGTTTAAGTATTGTTTATCGCAAACCAATAATCATTACAGTGCATTATTTTGACCTTTTAAGGCAAAAAGTATATTTAATATTGCAATATTTACAGACTTAGTGGCAAAGCTGCTTATGATCTGCTTAACGGACTCATTAAATTCAATCAATATTCCGCGTCAGATTTTCTTAGCACTTTCACATAGCAGAAACAATCTAATAAATTCAACTTCCAATTTAACCGTCCGTGAAAGCCTACACAGTTTAAATTAATAAATTATTGCATATTTAATCCTAAGGCTCTAAGATAAGAATACTCAAATTATTTACATAAACTATTGAGAACAGTCATTGAGTATACTAAATTAAATAAGTTTACAATCTTAAAATATAAATTGGCCCACTACTGAATTTCTGATTTTTTTTAATATAACAATTTTTAATAACAATTATTGTTTCCTGTACTCCTATATTTTACTGCTGACAACAATTGAAACACCGCAGAAATTATCAATAACAATTACATGAAAAAAATAATAGGTAAATATTTGTGCATTATTATTGTATGGTTGATTTAATATCAAACATGAACAATAAAGTATATTACAAGAACGCCAACGAAATGAAAATATTTCTTAATTTTAGCCCTTTTCTGTCCTTTCAAGCATACATAAATCTGATTTCAGTCAAGACAATTAATCATAATTAAAATTCATAATTCTACACATAAATTTAAAAAATTAATGCAGTAAAATAGAGCCGCAATAGTAATTATCTAAAAAATTATTAAAATTAGAAGAGAATATTTCTTTCATTTTATTGGAAAACAATTATCTCACGACCTTAAATTACACAAAGGCTATTAAAGCGGAGGACAAAAACCAATGCTGTTATTATTCTCTACCTCACTGTATGTCTTATGAATTGATTAAAGTTTCGGTCTGAACGATCTGAAAAAACACATATACTTAATACATATGATTTTAACCATAAGCGGATGTTTGAATCGGTATATAATGCACATGAAATATTCACATAAGCAATAAACGATGTTTAAAGAATATGTGAACAGATCCAGTCGCTGCAGTGTTTGCGTACAAGCAGAACAATATTTCTTATTATTATTAAAAAATGAACTGTTAGTGCCATGTGGTGCTCTTTTAAATTTGGCGAAAACTTGGACACCATTGGATGTGGTATTGAGATAAGTCCTACAGTACAAAATCGTATTACAGAATTTAAAAATTTGCGTGAATTATTTAAAAAACATTAAAATTAAATGTTAACTTTGCCAGCCTGTATCTCAAAAATGAAACCGTTTTCAATATATGGTTGTATGATAATTTCGACTTAAAATTGGATTTTCCATCGATCGTTAAAGTCCTGCTACTGTAAGCTGAGTCACCCTGTATATTGGCCGTTGCTTCTTAAAATCTGAGGCCCGATATAAAACTGCAATATGACAAAATATATTGGCATTAAGATGGCAAGAAGTTTCTTTTTGGAAAATGTTGTGAGCATTGTCTATATATGTATATCTTTATATGCAAGGAAGATCTTTTTTATGCTTTTTGACGATAACTATGCACTAGAATTAGAGTTTTTAATAATATAATGTTATCAAATAAAATAGTCATTTTTGGCCAGATTTTTTTAAATTGCCGTGACAGTCAACGTTTTAAATCTCAAAATATTTGCTCCAAAGCAGTATCCTAAACAACCCCGATTTTTCAACTGTTAAGTGACAAATTTGATCAACCCTTCCAGAACTATCTTACCTAATTGAACTAATAAAAATAATTTGAACAGTCTCAGTCTCCAACAAGAAAAATTTTCAACAATTCAGTCGAGACTCTTTAACCATGTCGACCGCCATTCACATTCTGCCAGGCCAGCTATCGAAGTTTAGGTCCGTGATATTTCAAAAACGTGAAGAGTAAAAAAAATCCCAGATATTAATAAGTAACCAAACGCTTTACAATGAAATAAAATTTCAAATATGGTTAAAATATCAAATATAATCTGATATTTTCCATGCGTTTGTTGTTTGTTGTTATATTGAATTTACTGCGGTAGCATGAAAATATTGAAGACTAACATTAATTTATAAGAAAAACAGGTTTGTCTATAGACACATCTAAATTCAACATATTTCAAAACGGGCCACCTTAAATATCTTCTAAAACTGAGTAAAAAATATGTAAAAATACACCGAGTTAGATTTGCCAGGACGTGTTAAAGATACGAATAAAGCTCCTTCTGTCCAAGGTATTCTAGCAAGACCAATCTCCTCTACATAGCGCCCAAATTTTCACCAATTTCTTAAATAGCACGTAGGAATCCGAAAGGAAAAGCGACAACAAAAGTATTATTTTATGCTCCGGACTTGATTCCAATAAATTTCTTTCTACGCGAACATTTAAGTAAATATTAGTAAAGTTTGTCAGTACTAAGTTTGTTACTAAAAATAGTTTTTTTGCACAATTAAGTTTTAAATTAAACGAAAATGTAAAACAACATTTCTCAGGCTTGCCGCACAATTTCACCGCCCATTATTTAACGAATAAAAATTTTAGGCGGTTTAAAATTGATGCCAAATTCGTTTGAACATTATAACTGAATGTTAACTCAGTTTGAACATTTTAACTTTAAGCGTTTTATTGTTATTTTGTCAAAGTTTCTAATATTTTCATTTCCACGCATCGACGTCGATAATTTGAAAATAAGAATCTGGTATACTAAGTGAAAACGTGTCAACATTTTCCGATTATCAAGAAATTGAACACATGAGCTCAAGATTGTGAAAATCTACCCAAGAGCCGAAAAGTTATCCCTACAAGACTCAAAAAGAGAAAATTTTATTTTTTGAGAGCACCCTGTAAATTAAAGAGATGGTGAAACACAAAACCCGTCTCGGACTATTTGATTTACCTCTGGACTTGTGTTGTTGAGATCCAAGTAAAACCTTTATTGCCCAACTAGCAGCATGCCAAAATTTTTGCAATTTTGCATTTTTTTCATTCATCACCCAGTAGAAAATTTATCTGAGGCGATTAATTTTTACCGAAAGATTGACGAACAAAATTTAAATGGGGCTCAATAACACTTCAAGTAGAAACCAAATCGCTCTAAGCAATCAGAATTTATACTGATTCAAATGTAGAGCAAATTTGGCTCGTTAACGTTTATTTTGTTAAGCAGTTCAGTTACAAGTGATTTGATTGCCAGTAGAGACTAATTCCTAAAATATTATCAAAACCTCAAAACGTTGCTAGATGAATATTTATGCAATTGGTTGTTAAGTGAAATGTACAGTTGGTACCGCACTTATTGTTATGGCGTTAGCGTATATAAATAAAACTGATTATACCTTACTGGATACCGTGTTTCGCTTATTGCAGTAACTGCATACGAAAAAAATCTGTAAATATTTTTGCGGTCGAATAAAGTACTGAAGAAAATATTTGTATTTATCTAAGATAATGCATGTGATATTTATATTGAAAAGCTGCCATTCCTGTATCGACGACCCAAAAAAGGTTAGCCGCATAACAAAAACAAGTTTTCACCAAGTACTTAAGAGCATACTGTTTAGTTAGAACACAATTACTTGTAACGTTTGGAGACACATAAAATCGTTAAAGCGAAACTTTGTTAACATTTGAAATCATAAAAATGTTAATTGTTATAAAAATGAGTAAGCACTTATTAATTGAATTACAAGAGTATTAGTTTAGACCGCTGATCTACAATGCGAAAATGCATCAAAACCAAGGAAAAATACATACTTTTTGTACGAACTCATTTGCTAAACATGCTTCGAAACATTGCTTCAAACCAGTTTGTGCTATAAGTTGCTTGTTCAATCACTTCATTACACGAATCATCCTCAAACCTACCAAAACCAAGAAATTTATAAGTAAACAAATCGTGTAATATTGTTAAAGTTCCCCAATGCAATAAGTTGCTATTTCTTATTGTTACTAACATAACAAAACTCTCATTGACAAAGGTATTATTGCATTGAAAGCGTCTGTGTTATCGAAAAAAACGTTTAAATATACGAAATATTAATGATTTTTAAACATAAACTAATGCAGAATGAGTGAAGAGTTTAAAAGTACCTACATATTTAAAAGTACATATAAAAGTTAATAAAATTATTTTTTTGAAAAACGTGAAGGCGATTTATAAATGAAGCAAATAATTCGAGACTCAAGAACTACGCAAGTGTTGAAGAAACATCACAGCTGATGTTTCTTTCTCCAATACTTCAAGTTCTTACCTTAAGAACCTGAACGAACTGTGAACGTTATGTCCCAATATCCCAAGGGCATGATTATTAACACAAAAACAGATAATACATGCAATTTTGAAGCATTTAATTCAATAAATTTGATGAAGGTATAGGAACAGAACAGAACGGAAGACAAAACATTTGAAACGAAAAATGAATATGTACCCCATTTTGCTGAAGATCAAAAGTGACTATGGTAGAGTGCCAGTAAATTACACGTAGATACACTTATATCGTTTCAAATTAGGCCGGTAAAAAGTAAAACTATTTCATAAAAATTTACTTTTCTCTCATATTTCTCCAGCCAAAGCCAAATTAAGTATATAAACAAATTTATCTGAGGGTACCACAATTTTGTCAGTCCTGTGAATTAGATACAGGACGACAATCGCTAGCAACTTCTAGGCCGGTATGTTTAGTCGATCTTCGAAACTTCGGAGATTGTTTTGAGTGATTTGGCCGAGCGTGCCGACGTCGACGCGAAAGCGACGGGTTCTGATGCAAAGCTGTTTCTTATTAGGTAGAATCGCCGACGATTCTCCCATAGAATGAGCATGCGCAATATCACTATTCTGGTGACCCTCGCCGTCCACATTTACAGTGATATTATTAATTTACCGATAAAATTTCGGCTTTGCTTGATGTTTATTTAGTTCGTGAAGTCGTTTTAAAAGTCGGCGGTGGAACGCAGTAAAATGCAGAAAAGATAAGGGCTTTCCACTGCGGATAGTGGCCTCGAAGGATGAGATATTGTATAAATAAATCACAAAATAACAATTTTATCCTAGAAGACATATTAGCGGTGCCAGCCGTTATTAATGTTGAGAAAACCAACCAATAATTCCGAAACTTCTTTTCTAAATATTAAAAAAATGTAATGCAGTAAAACTTTGTTTATTAATATTATTTCAACAACACTTCATACATACAAGCTTGAATTTTTATCACCAAGTAGGAGCTCAGAATAAAATTAATTAAAAATATCTATTATCAAAAGAACAGGCAGGCGTCGATTTGTGATTTGTTCCTGGCGATTGATTAATGGCAACAAAACATTTTGCACAATTTCCATTGAGGAAAGAAAGTGTTTTCTAAAATCGGCTTCAGTAAAATTCTCTAAGGTATTTTCCATATCTCGAATATACCTATGAAAATAATAAAATTATTATTTGAATTGCATATCACGCTTGTTGATGTTTCCTTTACGTACCTTTGTAGTATGTTCAAATCTAGTTCCAAGATCGAATTATAATATAACACTGTACAATACATCGAGATCGTTATCTAAATATTTAAAACAGAAATAGTACAAAAAACACGAGAAGTTGTAAACTTTCGCTCACAAAATAGGTTTGGCGATTGTTCGGAGATGCTTACTCCCATCTCCGACAAATTCCCACCGCATCGCCCAACAACATTAAAATGCGCGTGCGTCAGATGTCCAACCGATCGGGCGTGCAACCAAAATTGCGTCCCGCGAACGTCGGGACGCATCGTCAAAGATCGACTAAACTTAAAGCAGCGTCTACAGAAAGTCGTGCGTGTATTTAAAATAAGGAGTTCCATTTTCAGCGTTAAAACTGTCGCGCTACAACAGTCGCTCGTTTGCGGGTGCCCTTACAGTTTCCGAAATGCTAATGTTAGTGTTTCGATATACTTTTCAAAGTATAAATACAAACAGCAGCAGGCAACCGATGTTGTGAAACCACATTGTGTCCCGTTTGGACAAAGCTGCAATTACGATTGAGAAGTAAGAGTCCCCAGAAGAAAAAGTCGGCACATTAAGCTAAAGCTTAACACTTAAGTAACAATTCCTGGCTCAACTCCAAATGCTTTGAGCGAACCCAAAATCAATGCATGATGGCCAATGCAAATGATTGGTGTTTACAAACTAGAGTATAACAATCAGTGCCATATTAGAAAATTTATTTCCAAACTTAATCACAAACATTCCACTAAGGCTTTAGTTTGCATTCCTTAAAGCGCCTTCTAAGCGTGTTAAAGACGATTTACAAGTGAGTTGGAACAAACACTAGAATATGTATTCAAAGCTGCTCTTTAAAACAACTGTAGCAATGAGCATAAATATTATAAATATTATTATTATTATACTGTAAGCATAAAAATTATGCCCGTTTTTCTTGCGTAAATAATATTCTAACCAGTCAGATCTTCTTGGTGAAGTGTATGTTTCTGTAGTGTTAGACCTCAAACACTCCAAACTTTGGGATTTAATCCTCCTGTGAATTCTAAAACATTTTTCTGTTAAACAATAGTTTTACAGGCACATTTCGTCATTGCCTGGCGTCAGTATGGCTTCCAAAGTTTAGGCAAACAATAGAGAAACGTATTTTCACAGAACGAAATCAGTAATTGAACAAACCATATCAAACAMGGTCATTTCGCCACACCACATGCTAYTATCTAACTGGWYATTGATAATTTTCGCGAGTTCAACTACCGATGGTGGAGCTGCGAAMSGTCAAATTACTCGTTGTMGAGTGAMAGTTGAGACTTGTTTATTTATTGGAGTTGATGGCATTTATAACATAAAACAATACCTACACACTTTTCGATATGTTTCTATTTATTTAAAAAGCTTGCAAAAATTGWTTAGAACCAAAAAAAGCAAATTACAATCARATGTAAACATCATTGTCAACAAAACAAGTATCAAATTACTACTTAACTTGTGGTTATAATTTTAACCACCAGGGGACGTCTGGACTTTTGAACTCGCGAATAACTATTCTGGAAGCATGCCCAACTTACCAAACTAAAATACTTCATTGCTCATTGAATCCAATCGGCTATCTACTGTCCAGATACACCCAAATAACTACTTCCTATTTCCCTCTTGAAAAGTTATAAAGCAGCATCTATAATAGAATTTATCAAGGAATTTATGTCCGAGCCTAAAAATCTTGTCAGATGTCGAATTTGATAGTTTTGCAGCCATATTGATTTTTGTTTAATGGAAATATAAATATTTTATATTTTCACACCATCGGATATTCGATTATTATTTTTAAGTGTCTCCCCAATTTACTACGTCCAGATTATTATAGTTACAGATTTCTGCCTTTAAATCAATTTGACGTTAAAACTGTCAAATTTGACATCTGAATATATTTCTAAATTCGGACCTAAATTCCTTTATAAATTTTATTATAGATACTGCTATAAGATTTTTTGGATAGGTAATAAGGACGTAGAAAATTGGATGACACTAAACAAAATAAACGAAATTCAGAGAATCTATTAGTTCATTTGTCAAGAACCGTCAACTCAAAGAGTATGTAATTATATTATTATATATTTCTAAAATCGACCAACTATCCGATGGTGTGAATAAATTACATTACGGTACAAGCGACGAAAGTCGAACTTATGCCACTGCGTGAAGTTGGTCATTCATGCAGTGGCGGCCCTTCAACTTTCGTCTCGTGTACCGTAATGTAATTAAAAGTAATTGTAATTAAAAGTAAAGGTAATTGTAAGTTTTGAAAAAAAACGGCTTTAAAAATGTTGTCAAAAAAACTGTCTGCCGACAGTCAGAGACACAGTTGGCAGAAACAGTTGAGCTGTCAGAAGAGTGCGTGGCAAAAGTTCTTCCTTTCCACACTGGATGAAGCAAATTTAATTGAATGATGGGAGRAAAGGTAAATTGTCATTGTCATATAATAGTTAAAAGTTATTCTTTCGCTATCGAAAAAAGTGGCGAAGCTGTGTACTTTCCACCAGGTGATCAASAAAGATGCCGTCAATAATGTCAAATTTGACATCTAGGAAGATTTCTAAGYTTGAATCTAAATTGCTTGATAAATTCACATCACATATTCTGCTTTAAATCTTTTCCGAATGATAATAGGGAAGTAATCATTTGGGTGAAACAAAAAAATGTCMGTTTAACAGTGGCAKGTTCAGTAATTGGTTCTTTAGWCGTGTTATGTTGATGATTTGCAATCGGACACTTCGGCGCTTGTTCTATAGACCCGCATTTAACCAAGTCGGGAAAAGTAATTTCGGTACTTGAAGWTCCGAGAATCAGACATGCTTCCGCGTGTTTCAGATACGACTGTTTGAACCAGTCGAAATGGCGWYGAGAAGGAAAAAACGAAACCAAACCTTCTCCCATAGGTAAGATTAAAAATATGATCCTTGATCCACGAAGCAGAAGAGAAGAATGCGAGCAAGAAGACAACTTTAGCTTTATCAGAACTAAAATGAATGCTAGGGATGCTCTTTCGGAACAGAGAGTGTGAGAGCTAACAATAGTTGCAGACTGGTTTATCGAAAGATATTATCTATGTGAAGTAACCAAAAGCATTGAAGGAATTAACGGCCGAATTAACGAATTGTAGTCTGTAGTGTTGAAGAAAACCCAGGATTGTCGATCTTTGGAATTAGACATTCCACAAACGACCTTACACCGTATTTCGCATAAAGACTTAAGTCTTAAAGCTTTTAAAGTTCAGTTAACACAAGAACTCAGGCTTTAAAGATCGAATTGGTGAAGTTATCGAGAACATACAGCCGCAAATGTCAATTGCTCATCGAAAATTTCATGAGATGAATATGGTGCTGCAAGCGGAGCCATGGTGGCCATTTGGCTAATATCGTTTTCAAATGTTAGTGGCATATCTTCCTCTTTACAACGAAATAAACATTCATTAATATCTCTTAAAAAATACTAGTTCTTTTAATATCAAAATGAAACTCCTTATTGGAAAACCCTTTATATGTAGACATTTATTGGTTCCTTGAATGTATTATTCTAAAAATGGACAGTTAGAAAACCTCTGCCGCTGAAGTCATTGTAATTATACCAGCATTCCAATAAAAATAAAAACTATGTGTTACCGTACCAACTACTGTCTACATTGTAAATTTGTAAAAAATTGAGTTATTTAGTTTTCGTGCATAACGGTTAGATATACTATTGTTAGCAATGCTGCATCATGATTCAGGCAGATAATAACAAACACTGACAGTTATCTTCATATTTTAAATGATCGAGGAAGATTTAAACTGGAAACTAACCGATACTTGGCTGCAATTTTAAAAGTTATATTTTCTGCTCATAGCAAATTACTGCAGTCCAATTAATTCACAACAGTAAAAATAATGAATATTGTTAGCCCCATTGACCGACTTTAAAAAATAAAATTAACACAAAATAAAAAAAACTTAACCTACCCATCAATGTCTCCTAGTCCAGGAAAAACCTCTTGAATTCCGCTGTCCTCGGCGAAAGGCTTTTCATTCGTGTCAGCAGTAGGATTTTCTGCCGGCAATTCAGACAAGCCACGGTCATCACTTGACGGTATTTCGACAGTTTCTGATGGGCATGGACGATCTCCCACATTGTCAATGGACCCAAACGTCATAACTGACATTTCAGCGAAATTGAATTGGCATTGTGTTTCTTCTACAAGTGGTCCGAATGTTGTTGCTACTGAATGACTGGTTGACATTGCAGAAGCTTGTTTCGGTAAATAAACGGATTGAGATAGATCCGCAGCCTCACGATGAGCAGCAGATATCGGTTTCAACTTAACTCGGAAGAATTTAGCTCCTTTTGGAACTTTGTAACGATTCTCACTCTGAAAAGTACCAGGAAAGTTTTACTTAATGATTTTTTTTACTAAAAGATACTAAGTAAAACGCACATCGGATTTAAATGAACGAATGCAATTGTCTATTTTTTTTAAATATTTTGGCAATTAAAATTATTTGAATTTAATTAGAATTTATTTTTTATCAGGAAAATATATATCGTGTGCTTCAATTTTACTACGTCACCTCACTTATACCTAAATATGCAGAGTGGTCCATAATGAATACGTCACGGTGTAATTGCAGACTCTGGATGTCAAAATAATRCGATCTAACCAAACATGTAAAATATTGTTCGATTAAGATGATACGRACGATTAAAGTTCCTATTTAAATTTCAAATTTATTCTACAATTTATACAATTTAATTAAATGGCGCAAAAAGTTGAAATASTGAGTTGTTGGTGGTAAKAAATTCAAATTTAATCTTCAAGGCATGTGCTATGGGGCGCTATGCACTCTATGCTGTTTGGTTATTTTTAGTCAACACTTTTAAATMGAAATKTCCTTCTATAACTGAGTGAAAGTTTCCTTGATCTCAAATTTGATTGTTTCGCCAAGTCGTAAGCGTTTAGAGCTAATTCGTGTATTTTCTGCTACTCACACTAAGATTCGACATAAGATTTTGGACGACCCGCTCTATTCTTGAGAATATGTTCACTGATTTCACGCAATCGCATTAATAACCRCTAACAATTTTCATTGTGTGGTTGCATGCGGTACGAATATAATTCAAAATATGTACTTTCTTCTCAATTGCATGGGGCATAAAGACAAAATACCGCGTAACAAATCAAAATTTATAAATTCGTTGTGGCACTATCTTCCTTGGTTGTGCGTACAGCAGCTCTTTAGTTAGAACCGGGTATGGATTCTATAATTATGGCTATAAGAAATTAGAGAAAGATAGATAGACAATAAATTAGACGTGAAATTTAGACGCTACTTGCTTTTTTTATAGAACGATAAAATACTGAGGGAGTACAAGAAACTCAATAATCGAAAGTCATTAATGTCTTGGGATTGGAGAATAAAAATACAATAACTCTGAAACTTATTTCTATATACAAGGTACCAGGAAATGGTGCGACCAACACTTCACGCGGTAATTCTAGAACAAAAATTAGCGGGACGAGTTATAGGAACTTGTTACTAAAATGATCATACGATTTACCAGTGGCCTTCAGATAACGCCACTCCGAAGACAGAAAATGGAAATAAACCGATCATGGTTTGGCAAATGTTATAACGCCTAGTGCTTACTTCGTAAAATTTGACATTTTTAAGGATGGGTCAAACCTATGTCCCATGCATCCGTTTATACGAAAGTGTTTCTATTGGTTGGAGATCTGTCAGTTCGTACGACGTCGTACGAACGGACTCTCCTTTGTTAATAATCGCCCTGTATATTCAACATTATATATAAACAAACCGACCAAAATTACATTAAGGGCTTCTTCGACTACTTATAAAACCCAAATTTCATGGTTCCAGAGCTATTAATTCCACTTTAAGATTTATGTCTGTATTCGAATAATAATGTAATTATTCTTACCTTTCTTGTTTGGCAATATTCCCTATCTACTACTTCTCCCAGGCAGTACAATTTATTTGGTTTACCTTCCGTGACTAATAACCCAAGCTTTTCTAAACAATCTGAATGGGGAAAATATGTATGTTTAGACTCCTGAAACAAACGGCATTATTAATTTCATGTTTACTTTTTCGATTAGATAACCTTACCTGCAATATTTTAAAGTTTTCATGTACTGGATCCCACAGCAATAATACGACATCTCCTATTTTGCAACTATCAATACTTAACCGATGTGGACGAGTTGATGTTTCACTTCTGCTCATATCTGGTATTGCTGGAAAAGCTTCTAAGGGGCTTGTAGCTGCATCCATTTTTCCTAATTAATACGAAATATGTAGACATTATATCTGGGAGAAATCACAAAACTGACTACATACACATTGTTAATTTGTATTATTGTCGATATATTTTATTGAAATAAACTCAATCCGTAACTCAGATTGAATTACTTACAGATACGGATTACTAGTTCGGAATCAATTCTGTTAAGAGCACATGAGGTGTTAAATTGCCCATTATATTTTCACGATTTCGAAGATGTTTTTTCTACTATTCAAACAGTTACAAAAACCGCACTAAAATAATCTTCATTGCAAATTTCCGACTCACTACTGTTCCAAAGTGTCAGGTTTTCCACGAAATACCAGGATTGTACAAAAGACCATCCAAATATCCTAGCGAACGAACTGCTCAGCAACATGACCAGACTGCAGAGTTTCAAACTTCCAGGGTTGCAACTCTCAAGTTCAAGAGAACGATCACATCGCTGATGTGAGTATTTTAATGAATACTTAGTCGCTTGAGAGCCCCGCCTACTTCTTGCATGAGAACGCCGTTCCCCGGTTTCGAAAATTCGGAGCCAGACCGTTTCCACCCGTTTTTCCTATTACAATTTTTGTGTGTGTGTCGTCCCATACTTTTAAGCCCTATTATATATACCTATACTAATTATACCTTTACTAATTGTTAACTCATGAACAGACAAAAATCGTATAATGGTGAACAGAGTGGATAATAGCTATTATCAAGAATTTGACATGAAAAACACTGGATGGACTCGGTCACATCAAACATCTAGAGTTCAATTGGCATTGTACATGGAAGCTTGCTTTCATTCACGTCTACGATGGCAGTTGTGTTACTAATAGCGAATCTTTTGGTGCCGACTTTATCAATCGGTTCATTTGATATCAACTTTCAACCGACCCAATGGAAATATCAAAAACGAATTTAAATAAGGACTTTTCAAAATACCTTCATACACAGCCACAGATGTTGTCATCAACGCACTTTTCTCGCCAGTGAAACTAGCGAGCTGATCTTTGAGCTGCTGATTGTCTCTTTTTAGCAACTCGATTTCCTCAGATTCAGAATTACTGCGTCTTTCAAATGGAGGCTGCGAAGCTCCAAGTTCTGAAAAGTGCGGTTGCCCCAAAGTACTATCGACATCCGACCTGTAAATAAATAATTAAATTTCCATATTGGCAGCATTATTATTCAATGGATACCCTTAACTTCATTTAGCTTATAGTAGTGAGAGCTACGTACCAATGCCTGGCATGGTAGAAGTTTGGGATATAGAAAGACATTTTCTTTATAATAAATAAATCACGTTGAACTCGATAATAATCGGTGACTAAAATAATCCAAGGTTACTTCTGTCTACGTTTCTTTGCGCTTCAGATTTAAAGGGATAAAACTTAGCAAATAAGTAGCAAATAATCCATATATTTCTTCTATTGCCCAAGCAGTTAATTCTCGCTCTCTTCGAAAAAAAGTGTACGGAATCAGAAATACAGGGTATCAATTTTTTTAATGGTCTTTCTCAAACAGGCGATGAACCACTAACAGTTTTTTTGTCTATTTTACTTTGGCTTGTCTAAATCGAACACTACTTCTAGGTACTACTACTCATAATGTTGGCTAATTAGCAAGCATTTTAATATAACTACAGCACTAGAAAATAGTTTTGAACAAACCCTTGAATGTTGATACAAACGATTGGTTTCTTTAATAAAAAATTTGTTTGCTTGCTTATTTAGTTTTAATCAAATGCAAACAACAAAAATAACATAATAAAAAATATAATTTAAGTAAAACATCCCAACTTACCGCTCACTGTCATTTATTGTAATAGAAGCCTGCTCAATTCTATCCACAATTGCACTATCCTGTTCCAATTGCTTTTCGATATCACTTAAAATCACTTCATCAGGCAGTTTACATGTTGCATCTAGGCCTAATGAAACTGTTTGATTGCAACCGGTTGCAGTCTCTGAGCATTCTGCACCTTTTTCGAGCGAAGGGTAATTCGCTTTTTCAGGTATGGCATTGACCGGTTTTACTTTAACCAAAAAAAACTTGGTCCCTTTAGGAATGTTTAAGCGGTTTGTCTCCTGGAACATCAATTTGAGTGTGAAGTTAAAGGAAAATTTGAAATTTTACATTCAGAATTCAAATAAAGTGGTTATTACAAAATATGTTAATAATTGGAATATTAAGCATAGCTTTTTATATAAATTCTATACTTCTCAGGACTTTATTGCGCAACTCTGTCAACTCTTTAATGCTGAATGAAATAACGAAATTAACAACATTGAAATTGTGTTTTTGTGGCATTTTTATCATCAGCAGAAAATAATACTACTAACGTGTCTTTAAGCGTTAACTACCGGGCTGCAAACCTTTCGAAAAACAATAAATAATGGATTACAAAGAGATTGAATGCCGATGTCTCCATCCATAAAAATATTTCCAGTTCATACAATATTGGCATTAGGCCAATAGAACAATTTCAAATATCTCCATAAAAACACTATACTTGCAGCTGAAGAACTCATAAAAATTAAAGGTTCTATTGCATGTAATTCGTGCGCAATACAAAATGACTTACAAAAATGTATAGTTTGAACCAATAATTGCATGCAATTCGACAGTAGACCGGGCGTTATTTTTTTTTTCTTCGGGGATTTTCTTTCGCCCGAGATGAAAATTTTCAATGTAAGCTCTAGAAACTCGCGCAAAAAGGAATTGGAATATTTGCTGCTCATGCACTGAAATGCTTGTATAATTATAAACTTATTGACGAAAGATATCCGACTCTGCGACAAATTCCAATTATGACACCGGAAAGCTTTATTAGCATTTTTTGATGCTATTTTAAATGAATAAAAGCTTGTCCAGCTCAGCAGTCAAATGTGCCAAGCTCTAAAGATAAGATTAATTGAATTAATTTAAAATTAATCAAGTGTTTTTGACAAAAGATCCAACAAAATTGGAAAAATACAGAGAATATGCTCTGGGTTAGAAATAGTTTAAAATCTCAGTGCGAATGATGCAGCTGAGAGAGGAGTAAAGTTGATAACTGAGTTCAGCAAGGTTTTTGACGGTTGTTGCTTATAACTTTGTTTATCACCACACAGACGAAAAATAAACGTACCACTGGATTCAGCAGCATGGAAAAATATACAATTTGAAACAAAATTTACCGATTACGGTCGCTCTCGCCCAATTTATTGTATTTTTTCACTCATTTTTTTAGTTTTCCAAGTATTTTTGCTTATTTAATTTTTTGACGATGTCAAAACTGATGGTTCCATTCGATCCAGCAGCTGAAAATATGTGAGAAAAAATAGCCTCAATAGTGAAAATCCGAAATTTAACCCGGTTTTTATAAGGATAAACAAATTAACACGTTTTTTCAATTTAAAATCATTGGAAAACTTGACGTGCTGTGAGGCATGTAATGAATCGATTTCAAAAATCCAATTCGGTTTTGCTTTAGAGTTTCTAGAGCCTATAAAAAGATTTGCATCCAGTGGTTACTAGTGGCATGGACAAAAACCTGTATTTACTTTTACCACATAAGTTGCTCTATATTCTAAATGTTTATTTCACTTTTTTATTATTCAATTTGATGATGCTTAATACATTTTCGCAAAATTCAAACTTTCAAGATATGGTGACTTACCTTCAAAGTTTCACATAACTCTTTATCAATAACCTGGCCAATGCAACGTGTCTTGTTTGGTTGACCTTTAACTATATTCAATCCAAGATTTGCTAATGAATCAAAATGTAAAAAATACAACTGTTTTGAATGCTAAAAATAATAAAGCCTGTTGAAGTTGATTTCTAGGTGTTACCATATAAACTTCATACCTGATAAATTGTATAGTTCTTATACACTTCGTCCCAGCATACTAAGACAAGCGCTCCAATCTTAAAACCGTTAAAATTCAAATCATCAGCTTGACCAGTACCAATTTCGCTTTTAGTAAGACCAGCGAATGTACTTTCCAGTTTCTTTTCTGCTTAAACATGTAGTATGAAGGAAGGTCTTACGTTTTAATGTTTTAGTAGAGTAATGTAGATTATATTTCTATGGATATGTAGTTATAAAAAAAAATTGCATTGTAAAGCAAGTTACGTATTGAAATTTTACATCAATAAGGGAATAGATGTAAAATTATTATCTGTTAGTTTGGGATAATTAAAGATTTTTTTAATTAACTAAAATTATGGGAAACTTATTTTTTAAATTAGTAGTATCCTGGATACAAAAAAAGTTGTAAAAGTAATCAAAGTAATACGTAATGACTTCGAAAATAACTAATTGTGCAATAATAACGATAAAGTTCGCTTTATGCTTAAAATTTCATTGTACCGGATGAGCAACCAAGAGAGGTCGTCGGCTATAATTCACAAGCTAATAATAGTACAGGGAAAAAATTGTTAACAAAGTGACCAAGAAAAAATGTATACAATTTTTGCCCATATGTACCTTAATACTTTTTCATTTATAATTAAATTCTGAAACGGATTTTACAGTAGTTGCTATAATTTAATAGAAATATTTGACTGGTTCTTTTAAAATAAGCCAGTCTGTATGTTTTCGATATCTGTTCAATAGATATGTAAAAATAATTGATGAATTATGGAGGCAATGCAAGCGACAATTTTTAACAGATTTTAAAGATTTTTTTAGAGCACGTTGAAATAGTATTGTACTTCTCAAAAAATGTCTCGTTTTTGTGTTTGACACATTCTCGTGTCTAGTCAAAGGAAGAAACCGAGCAGATTATTTATTGCTCGATAAAAAGGTTGTTATCTCCGGATTGACTAAATCACACATTTTACCATGTTCCTGAAATATTTAATGAAATTCGAGGCAATGTAGGGTCGCATTCACTTAACTTTTACTTAACGTTGGAGCAAGCTATGAAAACTAACAAATATTTATATAAACTGACGCTGGTATTCGTTATTTATTAGACGGGTTTGGGAGACCAATTTCAGCTTAAACGATGAGTGGTTCAAACTTTTTGAGAAAAAAGCGAGAAATATTTTTTCGATGCCCCCATTTCCAAAGTTTTTTAGTTTTATTAATATACCTTCTAAGCTCCAGATAATTAAGAAACACTCGAAAAATAGTATCGTTCTTAAATAAATAATTTATGTTATTTGGATTTTGTAGCATCCTTCAATAACTAATGTGGGGACGAATTACATCACTTGCTTGAGGATTGGACCGCAAACTTTATCATATACTCGTTAGAGAGGTATTACTTTCATTACTTCATGGTAAATAAATAGTTACCGTTATCCACAAATGTTGAAAATGTCATTGCTCCATGATCAATATCAGCTCTTGACAACGCGCCTTCAATGCGACCTTCACTTTTTTCAAATTCTTGACCCAAACCGGTTTCAGAGTTACTTTCACGATCAGTTAGTTGATCAATTATTGTTTGGTATTTTATAATCTTTAGGTTGAGATCGGTTTCTCGTCGTGTTAGCGCATCAATTTGTAAATCTTTATCATGACTTATACGTCGTGTAATCTCTCGGGACAATACTTTACACCTATGAAGACATTTAAAATGGCAATAGCACAAAGAAATCTGAGTTTTTTAGTAAATACATACCTTTCCTGCACTTTATCTTCTAAAATAAGTTCCCAGCGCGCTCTTTCTTCAGCAACAGCCTGGGCTTTATCTAACTCGAAATTTTCAGTCATTTGTAAAAATAATGTCGAATCTAATGCAAAATCGGAGCTTCTCTCCTTCTCTAAAGATGTTAATGAAGGACTTTTCTCCATAGTAATCATCTTGAACCTTTCAAATCAAAAATTATATTATTACTTGACTTACTAGAAACAGTAGAAATAAACAAGTCAAAATATTATATATAAGTTAGTATTAAAATTGTTATACAGGGAAATTAAAATGGCGTTATTCCTCTGGGTGTTCCGAACCAAAAAAAAAATAATTAAAAAAAAAAACTAACCCAAACTAAATGCCCGAGAGCTTGTATGGATTTTTGAAATTCTGATCAGGTGCTGTTTAACTTGCATTTTAAATTGGTACTGGATGGGCCCACCGAAATAAAAAGTTTAGTTAAAATATGTATTCTTACCTAGACTTAATATTATCTAACTCAGTACGATGGTCCAATTCTTTTTGTTGTAACTGCTTAGTAAGTGTCTCGATTTTCGATGCTGTCTCCGTATTTTGTTTATCCAATAGTGCCTCTAATGACTTTACTTTAACACTGGTTAGCTTTAAATCGTTTTCCAGTTTCTGTGTTCAATAAAGACACAAACATTATTTTGCATGCAACGTAATTTTAATACATGTTTTGTAGCATTGAGACATAGTGCCATAACACTTTCGTCACATTTCACATCTGTAATATATCTGAATAACTTCTACTACCAACTCTCCAAAAACCTCTATCTAAGCAGTTAATGTGTTTATGTAATTTATCTCAAATTTGGCGTGAAAGTTTATGTGCACACACACATAGGATGTATGAAAAACGAGCTAAAACAATTAAAGGCTTTCGTTATCAGCAGAGCCGTCATGAGCTGTTGAAATGGGCAAGTACAGAATTCGACATGTGACAACCTCAGGTACACCCAGGACCTGTCTAGTTAGAGTCTATTAGCTCTCATCAGCTCGGTTTAGCCTGAAATTAGCGATTCCGAAACCTGCACTTTATAATGCCAATGTGTTCGCATCGGCGTGGAAACTACCTACTACCTATTTCAATTAACAAAGCAATTTTAAGAACCAAATTAAACAAAAAAATAATAATAAATCTGGATTCGCAAATCTGCTGTTTACTTTGAAAAAACTAAAACTTGTTTTTATTATTTAATAAATATAAGACCATTTACGAAAACTACTCGAAAATTTCCTGACTGGTATTTTCCTGTCACAGCACGCAATTTCATTAATGGGATTCAAATCACATATGATACAGAGTGTACTTTCCATATATCAACATTTAAAAAAAAGTGAAAACACCCTATTGTACTTTTGAATACTGTACTCGAAGCCAATTTTATTTTTCTTTAATTTGAAAGCTGTCAGGAGATATGTGAACAAAACTGATGTATGACAGATTTTTTAATGACTCTTAGTACTGTCAACATTAATCTGACAATAACATTAAATCGAAAAGTTGTAGAACAATGCATGCCAAAAAAATGATATTTCTACAAATTAACTGTCATTTTTGACATATGACACAAACTTGGCAAATGGCAATTTTTATATCCCAAAAGTTTTTAATCTGATTAATTATTTTGCCGTCCTTTCTTAGCTAATGTCTAATGTTAAAATTAAATAAAAGTAATAAACAAACACCATCATGGTGAAAGCAGATACTTACTCTATTGTCGCGATCTAATCTTTTAATCAGTTCTTCTTTTTCCATTAAATTGTACTGGTACTGGTCTTTTTGTTCAGAGCATTCCTGCCTCATGCATCTTACGATTTCTTGTTCATTTTTATCAACCTCTATCAGCAGCGTCTCCCAAGAACTACCCAAATCTCCATACTGCTGAGATAAAGACCGTGACTCAGTTTCAAACTGTACCTTAAAAGTGTTAAGGTCTGTGCGCAAATTTGCCGTTGCCAGTTTTGCAATTCCGCTCAAGTTAACCACAATGTTCTTGAGCTTTTCATGTTCTAATCTTGAAATTTGAAGATTTTCCTGAAAAAAAAGCACAGTTTTTTAGCAAAATAATTCATATTTCGATATGTTAAATATACATCTGTTTGCATGTATCATAAGAACGTGGTTACATCGAAACAATCTTTAACTTCTGATGACACGACTATTTTAAAAGTTCACGTATTTCAGATCCATTATATTATGGGATATAGAAAACTAATGAGTCAATGAAAATTTAATGCATACAAATACAAAAAAAACTCTACGCTACTATCAACCATACTAATAACAAAAAGTTCATTAGATACCAGAACCTTCGAATTAAAATTCGAAGAGGCAAATTCGACGATATTGTCTTGTTGTCTACTAGTCAAATAGTAACAAACATTTTTATTTTTCTGAAAGCGTCAAACAAAGTACTTCTTTGTTTGACGTCGAATTATTCAAACTTATGGGTAGAGGTATTCTTATGTAAAAATTAGTCAATTCATAAATTTGTAAGTTCTGTGGCAAAATGAGCTATCAGGTCTATTAAATGACGAAAACTATTTTTCAATATCAAATTCTTTTCGATTCGACGAGTGTATATTTTAGTACAGCAAAAAGAAATATATAATATTAGATACAATTTTTTGGAAACTTTAGAAAGTTCGATATTTACAATGTGGTTTTTTTTTTGTAAAATTTATCCTGAACTGAATTGAAATCACACGAAATATATCGAATACAATAACGATAGAATCATGCAAATAATTATCGTGCGGGTAAATCAATATGCAAAAAATGTCTAATTTTTAATTCTCTTACTAGCCTACTCTTTTCAAAATGGCTCTGAAAAGTCACATAAAATGCCAACCATAACATGAGAGAACGTTTCCAACGCCAATTCATAAACATAAAACAACAAACATAAATAATAATAAACATTTTCAATATAAAATATATATATATCTATAACTCTATGGACCAATTAACCGATAATATAAGAATAATTAAAAGTGTTAAATAAAACCTCTACCCTTTACAATAGGATAAAAATAACAAATAGTACGAAATAACTTCTCATTTACCGGAAAAGGTGGACCGGGAGGAGACGGTTTTAGCGAATGGTCGATTAGATACCACAACATGGTCAAACTACCACAAATCCAACAAAAAACATTTATGAAAATATTAAAATAATTTCACAATTGTTTTTGGGAAGGCAGGATTTTCATACAGGTATATGACATTTATTTACTTACTTCGGTGCAAAATCAAAAACTAAAGTATCAAATTTCAAAAGTTGAAGCTCGTAACTTATATTTAGAACAGCAAATAGCAAATTTAGAGCAGAACTAAATTAACCGTAAGTTAAAGCAGAGTTAAAATGGACGGAAAAGTTTTTGATTTTTGACCTTAAACTTATGGGCAACATACTCTGTTGAAATAGTCGTCATCTCATGATAGAGTTGTAACGTAACGGATGCAATGCATTTCAACGATAAAAAGCAAATATGGACAAACAACTAAAGTTAACTGTGCGGAACTAAGAAATAATAAGGAAATGTAGAAGAAAAATAAGTAAAACGACCGGGGCAAAAGAATCAAGCGACAGATACCTGAAGCATCGCGATAACAATATTCGCGGTATCCAACTGTCTGACGAATTCAGATCCTTGGCTGTTGCCGGTGCCGACACTAGAAGGCATGCTTTCATCGATATAGTATTCGTCAGTGGAGAAATCGGACTGCATACCGGTGTTAGGAGAACTTGTTTCTTGGAATAGAACATCCCTCGGACTCTGAGGTGAAACTGACTTTGAACGACTAAGCATCAAACCCGAGAGCGCGCCGCTCTGATGTTGAAAAAGTGTATTAGCCTTTGGGAATGTCGACAAACTGGTAGAATCCAAAAGATGTATGGAAGTACTAGTACTAGATAGTAGATTTGAATGGTCTCTACTTTTGGATTCATTATAGTGTGAGTTAAAACAACTGTCAGTGTTATTTGTAAAAACTTTTAAACTGGACATTTCGTCGATAGAGTCAAGAGAACTATTTTTCAAGTTAGTGAAGCTTTCATTCATGCTAATGCTCAGAGTTCGTGGCGTAGAGTCCGTTTCAAACGATTGAGTGGAGCGAAAGAATCGCGGGGTTTTTTTAGGAGGATATACTGGATTTCGTACCTGTAATGCAAGCAGTATTAGCGGAAATAAACTCATAACCAATTCATATTGATAATACACAATCAATAAGTTAAAAAGCACCCTTTCACAAAACCTACCTCTGTGATAGTTGAAACGTCGATTTTTTCAGTAACTTTGGATTCAGTCCCAGTGAATTCACCTTGAGGAAAACCAAGTTCCATAGGACTTTGACCCACTTTTTCAAATTCTTCTGTGTCCGTTTCGGACTCACAGCCCCTATTTTAACAGAAACCACATTCTGGTTATAAATGAAAATGAGCTAGTACGAAATATTTGTCAAGCAAAATGGTGTCTGTCTATTTTTTATATATTAATGATCCGGCTCTATTGTTTAAAATTTATTATTGGTTATCCCATATTAAATACTATTGAACGCTTATTGTCCAGGCCACAATGCTAAGTGGTAAATACATAAAATATTAGTTAGATATTAGTTAGCCAATGATATTACAGGTTACTTAAACAATTGTTTTGGCAGAAACTGCTCTTTATGCTTGTTCGTGGTTCCATAACGCGCAACATTGAAGCAATTATATAACAACGGTTATGTGAATACACATTTTGATATTTTAGTCACTGGAAAGCGTTAACAATGCAAAGTTTGTAAAACAGAAATGTTAGCCAAAAAGTCTAGTTAAAAAATGTAATAACACTTACTTGTCATCTTTAGGAACCGATACCCCAGGAGCGGAAACTAAACAAGATTCGCTGCTTGTTTTCAACATATTCTGATCTAATTGGCTAGCAAGTCCCACATCAGATACTGCTTGGATTAATTTATCTTCAATGCCCCGAAAAATATCATCTACCTATAAAATGAAGGAATATGTAACATTTGAGTAATAACCAAGTAATATAACTTTAAATACTGAAAAATATTGTATGACGGTCTGAACTGATTTTCAGGAAAAAACTCCAGTCGGTCAGTCAATTGCCAAGTTTCGGAAAATTCACTACTATCTTCGGAGCTAAAATATATAATAACATCAATTGTTACTGATATCTTCTCCTCGATATTGATTTTTTATTCGACTATCGACTGGAAAGTTTCTGATCAAAACAAGCATTCAGAATCATCAATGTTTCCTAACTTTCAAAGTTTTATAACAACTCGGCCATCCTAATTTTATTATTTATTAGCAACTTTTTTTATAGCTGATCATGTAATGTTTTCGAACAAACAATTTAGAAAAAAATGTTTAAAAAATCAAAGTAGTCAATCACTAGTAGAATAAGAAATTTTTAAAATGTTCACGACTGTCGTCAAAAAGTAACCATTTTATTTTCATATAAATAGTTAATTAATAAAACAATACCATAAATTAGATTTAACTGTTTTGAAACAGGGCAGATAGACCGATTAGGTCGACAGCCTTCTCTTACGAAATCAATTACCTTCTCTTTCCCAGAAACTTTTCCAGTAAAAAAATTTGCAACGTGACTCATGTCAGGAACAATCAAATTCTCTATAAAATCGGGAACTTGCTTCCGAAGTTTCTCAATATCTTCAGCGCTAACGTTGGGTAGCTGAGCGTCGAACATAGTGGGTGCCTCTGTAGCAAAAGTAGGCGGGATATCACTCATTCCAGGGAAAAGCGCAGAAAGAAAATGTCCATCAAATAAGGCATTAAAATCCTTTCTTCTCGTAACTTCTTCATTATAAATCGTAAGTTGTTGACAGGCAAGATCAGATGCCCACTAAAATCGTTGGATATCATGGCATTAAAAAACATAAATCCAGCATAATAATTGAAAGATAAATGTGCGGGCATGATAGACAGTTAATTCTGATCAGATCGATCAACTGGTTACTTTCGGCCAATTTCAATGCCTCTTTAAAAATATGTGGAAGTCTCCAAACTACATTTTAATTTAAAAAATTCGACGTAAAAAACACCTTTTTTTCAACTCAATATAACTAAATTGAAAAGTGACTAGAAGATTGAGCAGCAACTCTTATTGAATAGTTTCTATAGTTTGAAAACTTTAGAGAGTAATGGAGTTCTTCGTTACACATTGAGTGGTTAAAATTTTGACGACTTGCATATGTCGATTACTTACCAGCAAGAACAATTGTGAAAATAATCGTCGTCTGACCACTTCAACTAATGCATTCATATAGATTATTGGAGCAATATGAAGCTGCTGAAACACTTCTAAATGTTTTCGTAATCTTTGTAAATGCTCATGAAAATATACTAATAGATTATCCAACTCCCACAATTTTCCCTCTACTTGTTGAACCCAACTAGAAAAAAAAATACCATTACTTCCTTTCAGTACCTAAAAGAAAATACTGTTGAAAGATGAAAGAATCTAGGTGAACAGGGTGACCAAGATAAGGAAGCATTGCATGGGAATCTCCAAAACCGAAAGAGATACGAAGTCATTTTCGCATTTAAGCATTTTCGAAAATCAGGTATTTCTTGTAATTTTTAAAGATGTTTGGAAAAATATGATTTTTCGGACTTTTGTTTTTTTGGTAAACAAAAACTTTCTCATGGCACTTTTTCGAGCTCCACAAGACTGTGTCTATGAAAATTTATTACAACGTTCCGATTCTTTGAAACCATTATCAACTTTTGTTTTTCATATGGACCGAAAAAAAGTACATAACGATGTATAACAGTATTATTTGTTACTGCTCTTCTTCTTCTTCAAGTGCCATACTCTCACCCGAGAGCGTAGGCGACCTCTCGCGCATACTTGTGGATCGCATCTTCCTCAATTATACGGATCTTACCAGACAAGGGTATCCGTAATCCGAACGGTACTAGTTGAGAGGTTTTTCTAGGCAGAGGCGTGGTAGTGGTCACAGTATAGCTGCGCGAAAAATCTTCACGGCCTGGCCGAGGATCGATCCCGGGATCTTAGACATGGGAAGCGGATGTGTTCACTACCACACCACTTTGAGCACTTACGGTACTCGATTCAAAAAAATATTTTTTTATATATATATTATGTCTTTGGGACAACTTAATCCTTTCTGAAGTCGTATTTTCTTCAAATATCCACGTCTTTCGTGAGATTTTAGGAGAAGAAATGAATGGCGCTGAATTAAAACTAATGTTTTCCACTTACCCAATTCTGAAGCATAAGCTTTTACTCAATTCAAATTTAGCTTTGATTATGCGATTTCTATCTTCCATTAGTTTCTCGTGAGTTTCTAGTATTAAAGTCAATTGATGCATATGACTAACAGACAACTCAGGAAGTATTGAATTGTCCTTAATATTAGTAACACTCTGTTTATGCTACAAATGTAAAAAAAATACGTAAAAACAGGAAAAAGAGCGCAGCTAAATTGTTTAATGCGAAAATTCAACAGCATACTTGTAAAAAACTTTGCGCCATCGTAGTCTGACATTCAACGTAAGCCTTTACTTTTCTGACCAGATCATCCAAATCGCACAGTCGCTTCTCCAGTCCTTCGATTTCTTTCCTTTCTGTTGTCTCAGCATTAAGCAAAGCCTCATCAATATTTTTTGTTAAAGAAGGCATAATTTCCTGTTCGAACTAGAAATTAATTTCAATTCAACATAGTTTAGAGGTAATTTTAATAATGCGAATATGAAATTCACCATCTAAGGACGGAGCTACAAAAAGTACCTTGCTCAGACTGGATTTGCAAAGTTCGTATAATTCGTCCAGCGAATTTTTATTGTCAGATGATATCCAGTCATATAAAGTAATTTCCTTGTCGGATTCTGATTCTGATACATTACTAGCTATTTCAGACTTTGACTCTTCCATTGTGTTGTTTCCCGATTCCAGTAACGTCGCAACTACTGGTATTTTTTGGAGAATTCTCTTGTCAGCTTCAAAGCTGGAAACAATTATCTATATGATATAAGTAAGTTTTCAGTTGAATTTTGTACAAGTGATCCAATTCTGTGCCTCAAACGGAACATAATCTCCTAAAAGCAACCAAGAATCGATCTCTTGATTTGGAAGAGTTGTGGCTGGAGTTGGAAGAGTTTATCTAAATATTTTAAAAAATAGGTATTTTCTTACTGCTTTTAATCTGTATATAGTTAATAACTGCTGTTGCTATAAAATGTATTATTTATTAAAATATTGCAAGGCAGGAATGATTGCAATTATCGAATAAATTCATTCATTGAATAGGGCGCGCTTCTAGGCTTCTAGTGCAGCGTTGGAAAGTTACAAATTACAAACTTAGATTATTTGGGTAAAATGCAGGTTTCTAGTTAGTATGAACTAATTTAGCGACTTAAAATAAATCTTTCAAATTGGAGAGCTCGGCAACTTACAAAGAATTGTAGTACCATCAGCTTACCTTACGAGAAAGTCATCGTAGGTAGCACGGTCCGCTCTAAATTCTCGGTACATTCTTTGGAATAACTCCCATCGTTTCCGAAACTCCATTCCAATGTCTTCTAGATTAGCTATAACAGCAAACCACCCTGAAATAACAATAATAAATAAATAATATTGATGAGAGACCTATAGCGGCAACATGGCAAAGAAGCGAGCAAGCGCAAACCGTCGGTACTCCGAATGATGGTTAAGAAAATATCTGCGTTGCGCCGTTAAACGCTAGGTGTTATAACACATTGACACAGAGAGCGGTATCAACATGAAAGTGTCACACAACACCGAGTTATCCGTTCCTAATTTGCAGTGGCTCATTAGAAATATTAGTTTAGTTCTCGAAGTAGTGTTATAAAATATTTGGCATTGTTTTTTTAGACAAGCACACATGAAATAGTTTACCCAAATATAAAGTTGACATGAAAGACATGTGAAACTAACATGTTTCTAAACAAATCTCTGTTTAGGAGCGTGGTTTCAGTGATTTGTCATTAAAAACTCATAGAATCGTAAATTTGCCGAACTGAAATGTTGCCTAATTTTAAGCATGTTTTGCAATATTTTATTTGTACTGTTTAGCTCTAGTTTATATATACTAACACTCTGTATACGAAATATTTAGTAATTTGAGTTAGAAAACACATAAATGTTCGGATATTTTACAATGCATGTTAAGCAGCAATCTAGACAAATCAAGGAAATGCGTTACGGAAACCCATTGTAAAAGCAGCCAAATTTTTCGCACTTCCCCTTCATCTGGAACTTTAAAAAGTTCCATCTGTCTCGAGTAGTAGATGAAGAAGGGTGTATGTTCTAGCAACATTTGCGCATAAATATTTCCTTTTTAATATCATACTGCGTAGATTCAAACATTAATATTTGTCAACAAAAAACTGTTATATATAATAACAAAATATATCTGTTCGTTTTTAAATTGTGTACAATGCATGTGAAAACTCGTAAACGCTCATTGGAAATCAGAGATATAAATTAAACTATATTATCGCAAAAACTCTCCAGAGTAATATGTACATAAATATTAGGCATGGGGAATCAGGCAACTCAGTGAGTTTTCAGGAGTTGGCGCAGTAGTTGGAGGAAAATAAAGCTCTGACAAAGTTGTAAAACGTTACTCATAAAAAATATGGTAACTTTTTTTGGTGATAAAATTCAGGTCGCCGCTCTCGAAAAGCTTTAATCCGTCCCTCAATGCTAAGCGTAATTCAAAGTGCAGCGCAGTGAGATGCGATGAGTTATAACTCATTAGCGCACAGAGCGGCAGACACTCAAAAGCACAACTCGACACAGTATTACCCATGCCTAATAAATATATGACAAACTTTACTGACTCACACATATACTCACAGTATACATTAGCGCAAAAATATACATACCCTGTTGTTGTAAATGTTGCTCATGAACCAAGTTTTCGCAAAACTCCAATTGATCCTTGGCTGCAGACGCGAAATCTTGAGATACCAAGGTGCGTGTTTTCACCGTGTTAACAGAAATCGGCAAGCATCGGGCATCTATCAGCCGCTTTCTTAATTCTTAAAATGAAAAATAACATAATAAACATTTTATTAATAAGCAAACTAATTTAAAGCAGATTATTGCCAATAATCTAATACAAGGTGTCAAAAACCCAACAAGCTTTGAATGTTTAAGGGTAACTGACCAATATGAAAAAGTTAATACGAATAAGCTACCATCAGGTGCTAGCATATCATACCTGTTACCTGGTAAAATACTGCAAAAAGCAATTTAATGTAATTATACTGCTTTTTGCAGTATACACAGTAAATAATATTTAACCGGAGCCATTCTCTAATTTTAGTTTAGAGAGTTTTATAGGTTTGAAGAGAAACATGTTCTGGGACAAAACCAGTTCAAGTCAACAGTTAGAAAAAAGTCCTTCTAATAATTGAGATTATATTTTACAAATATTATGACAACTGGTCAACAACAGCTACTGTTCAAAGATCAATAAAAAATTATTTTGAAAACAAGTTAAGAAAAATAACCTATTCAGTTATTACAAGATTATTATGAATTATTGTTATGAAATATTGTTAATACCTTCATGACAATCATATAGCTTTGGTATAATAATTAAAAAATTACCATTCTGGTATTTCTATTTTCGAAAAGTTTCCGAGATTATTGACCTCAAGTAAACGACAAAAGCACAAAAAAAATTAGTTACTTGTTCCCGAGTTACTCTTGTCTGTAGCGATTCAGCAGAAACTGGTTGTCTCAGAAAAGCCTGTTTAACTTAAATTCATGTTGCATAGATTTAAATTCTAGCTCAATCACAATGCGTTTTTCCAGTGCGTTATTGCCAGCTAAGACTTACCTTCATCATCTAACTGAAGATATTTTCCACTATCTAGTTGTGACACGTCAAAATTTGTTGAGAACAAGTAAATAGGATTGGTATCAGTGCCAGCCATATATGAGCATAGATTCTTACTTGAATCTAAAGGCTCTCCACCACTTATCAAAAGTACTTGTCGTTCTATGGGAATATGGCATTTTTCGAAAATTTTTCTCTTGAGATCTGCCACACTAAAACCCCAGAATTAAACAAATTAACATAAAAGTACATTTTGTTTTAGCCGTAACGAAGAATATACAATGTGCCCCATTGAAAGTTTGCACCCGACATTCCTTAAACTATCATCTAAAATCCTGAAAATTGTAGGAGCACGTCGATCTCTCAATAATTAATTTTAGTTTAACAGAAGTCGTATGGTGCTATAATGAGAGCGTCATCTGATTTGAAATATTTTTGCTACTGTTGGATAATCTGGTTTAATTTATTGGTTTGATAAGGGAACTTTGTTTTCCTTGCATTGGATAGGCAAGTGCACTGTCGTGAGCAAATGGATGTTGATTTGTCTATTCGTGTTTGGTCACACATATAATGGCTGTATATGTCGTGATACTACAATAAGCCGTTGCTTGGCTAAAAACAATATCGAGGAAGTATTTTGGTGTTGTCCAGTCTGTATAACTTCTTTAGCTGCCGACTGTGCCATAGATTTCAAAGGCATTTATTGTTTATAAATAAATTTACTTAATAAACTGAAAATATCAAAATTGCCGTCCGGTTTGTAATCTAACATCAAATGTTAGAAAAGAGAAGTATTCTGAATAATTATAAAGTTATACTGAAGACAAATTTGCAACAATGGTTTAGTCACTATTAAATTCTCAAAAACGAAGGCGAGGATAATTTCTTTTAGATATTTAGTACAATGCTTTTCCAAATGTAACCCTATTTTCACCTTTAAGTGTCTGTCTGATAAACTATTAACCGCAGAGCCAATAAAACTTCTATCAAAATTATCCTTATTTGAAAGAGAGCGAACTGCGATTCATATATCCCATAAAAAAATAATGTTGATATGCCACGGATTTTTGAAAACACCGTGCATACCAAAAATAATTTTAACGGTCAGCCACTATTTCTGCCAATATCGCATAAAAAGTTATCTCAAAATTACACTCCAGTTAGCTGTAATCTTTAAACAAAAAATAGTTTTGTTTCCATTTTTAGGAACATTCTTTCTTTCTTCTTTAGGAACAACAACTTATTTGCATATCAATTTTTGATTTCAAGAATTTTCGTTTCTATACTTTTCTGTGGAAAATAAAGCTGTAATCTGCAGTTAATTTATGCATGCATCAATTTAAATATTCTTAAAAAAC